TAAAATTTCGTGAGCGTTTACACACGTAAAGGTTACGTCGGACAGTGGAAATCCACCCTTACTCAGCTTACTAATAAAAACCCGTCTGCAAAAATAAGCGGTTTTCTTCGCAATTCTCTCCTTTTAGATATTAACGAGTGTACGACTAACGTTCATAACTGTGATCCCAATGCGTTCTGTAATAACACTGATGGATCTTATAACTGCACATACAGCCCGCGCGTACTTAAAATTCTGACCTGCAACCTGCAAATTAGACTCTCCGGTCAGCATCACACCTTCATGAATGCCTCCCCAATAAACCGGCTCAGTGCACTCGAATGTTCCCTGGAAACACAAAACGTCCCGTGACCACCGGTGACGTGACTCTGGATGCGGATACCGACCGGAAATGGCCGATATATACATTTAAAGAAAGAAAGATATATATATATATATATATATATATATATATATATATATATATATATATATATATATGTGTGTGTCAACCGGCTTTGCATGCCGCTAAGACTACGCGCGGCCCAGGCGCTGCTTGTGCGCTTCACGCGCGATAAGATTATAAACTCGATTTCGCGAGGAAATTTAAACCTGTCCATCCCGGGGTTGAGCCAAATTTCCCCCGTTTACTGTTTTCTGTCTATCTCCCTTTTCAGAAATATGTCAGGCTGACTGTTGGCGCAGCGAATCCAGGATGCCAAACATTGCTTGGGGTTGGATTTACTCAGCTAATGCTAGTGGCAGTAACAGAGTGGACGCTATCGATTTCCAAATAGATAGTGACACCATTTTGTCAGGGTACCGTCTGTGGGGAGTCAGAAGCGTCAATTCAACTACTTTCCTGGTCACCATGAGTTTGTACCGGGAGCACAGATTGATCGCCAACAAGACTGGAACCTACCCAACTAACTCCAGTGTGAAGACGTTTGAAGTGCATTTCTCGCAAGAGATCGCCATAAGTCCTAATATCACATATACTGCAGCTGTTAGAATAGTAACATCCGCAAGCTCTTACGCTCATAACGACGGCATGTCAAGGGCATCTTGCTCTGGTGTCAGTGTTAATTTCACAACATCGTCAATGGACAGCAACGGGTCAAGGCAGCAGTTTGGCCAAATTCCGTCTTTAATATTGCTTAGCAAGGGGTCATGTGCGAAGCGTTAAAGCTTGGCGAGGCTTTTTTTTTTTTTGTCTTTTTTTTGCAATTGGCGAAAAGGTTTGTTCGGATACTATGTCTTTGAGTGTCTGTGACCTTATGCCGACTTCATAACGAAAAATGGACATTTCCCTCCCCCACCTCAGTCCTCCAAGCAAAGTTGGTTTATTGTTAGAGCTACCTTTAAGGGACAGCGAATACCCAACTTTGAATGGAAAAGAAAAAAAAATTGCTGTGTTCTTCAATGTAGGAGTAGCTTCCTTTGTAGCTTTTCTACATAACTGATACCGTCCTCGAAAATGAAGTTGAACAAATAAATCATCCGAGCGATTTGAACATAAAATGTAGATGTAAAAAAATTGGAATAGTCAGTGTATTTTCATTCCCGGAATTAAAATCGTCGCAAAGAGTTGTTAAGTCAGTAATCCGTATTTTCAGTAGGGACAGCCCTGTTTAAGTAAAACCATTATAGTATTTTTGTATGTATTAAAAAATATACCTTATTTCAAGACTCCGTGTTTCATTTTCCGTAACGGGACGGCGGACTTGGGAAGTTACGGATCTAGGACTTGTTACTTTGCAGTCTTTCTGCGAATATTTTCGGTTTCTTTTCATTTTTGTATATAATCCGTTTGTCCTTTACCTAATAAGCCTATATCACCTTGATCTTAAATGGTTATGCTGATGAAAATGTTTTGTAATCACCTTCTCGGCTTTGGGAACACCTAATCGTTAACTTTGATGTACCGCACATAACAGTTTGATATAGCATGTGAAAAGTTTGTTAAAGTTGTACGATACATATAGTAATTATAGTAATCTCTTCAGCTGTTAGTTGCTCTGGAATAAACTTGCCGTCTCCATATTTACGTTTGTTTATTCTCTGATTAAGAAGTGAATACTGTAAACTATAGAGAAATGTGAGTCTAATTTTAAGAGTCTTTTAAGTTACTTCTACTGGACTTGTAATGAATTTTTAATGACCAAAATGATCCTTGAAATTTTTCCTTAAAATCTAGAGTTGTGTTTTTGAGAAGCAGCCAAATTTTTGCCCTAAAAAATTAGAAAATATGACAGTTCTCCTTGCGATGACGCATCATCATAAGTGTAGCTTTCTTCTCTGGATTGAACTGAAATGGAGTGACAGTTCGCGACTGAAACTGTGGACTCGGCTGTATCCCATTAAAGCAGGTGTTACAATTTGCTTGCTAAACCTCTCAGTTGAGACTGTAGAGTAATGCGAACTATCTAGAGCTGAAGGAGAAAATACAGAATACTCAATAGTCTAGTGTATTTCTTAGATAGCCAACTAGAGCTACAGGGCCTCTATTCACACATAATAATCATGGTGATTTCGGCGCGATTTCTGTGACGTAGCGAAGCTGCGCTGAGCCGATCTCAAAAGTGGATCATTAACATATCGGATAGGTTCTGGGCCACACTTAAGTGAACTGTGAACAGCTATTCGGACCTTAGCGGAAGTAAATGGGTAGAACTGAGGATTGAAACGCACCGAGAAGGAAGTAAACATTCAGAGGTGAGGATTGAGATTTAATGTTCCTAACCTTTCTCGGGAAGATGTGCGTGAACGACTTGTTCCAGTTCTGTTCCGTTGCTAATCATACTTTACACCCTGGATAGTTTTTCGACTTATTTATGTCGGCGCGAAAAGCTATCGGGTATTGTAAATGCAGTAGTGTTAGGTAGGGCCGGTTTACATGGAGGTGGGGGGCCCCAGATAGGTGAGGTAACATGTGGCGGGTCACCCCATCTATCATCTAAACGTGATCAAATTAAAATGAGAGATTATATGGACAGGCGGGTTACCCCACCTAAGCGGGTTATCTCACCTACCTGGGGTCCCCCACCTCCATGTAAACAGGCCCTTAAGCTAGGGCGTAATTGTGATAATTCGCGTAACAAGGAGCACCTGAACTTTTATTTAATTCGTGACGATTCCTCAGGGACCCATTGAAGAAAAGCTGCGCCTACTTTTTCTTTTGTTTTCAAGGATCCATGACATGCCCTCATAGGTGGCACGGTGGCATTCGATCCTCACCTCAACCTTCTTAATTTATGCGGTTTGTCGAGTGATTCATTGCGACTTTTTATTACATAAAGGAAATCTAGACGTAGTATCGCCGCTGCTGTCAAATACAAGGTCTCTGACAGAATTGAGGCAGTTAATTGAAAGAAATGTTAAGGAAATGAAGTACCTTTGAAGTTTACAAGTGTAATTCAGGAGGTTTGACTGAAAGCGCAGTGGTTTACCAAGGAATAAATACAGCGATATTCAGGTTTGGAATTTTGAAAATGCTCCACGTAAAAAGTGTTAAAATACTTCAAAACCGTTTAGGCTACGACTATCAACCCTAGCGGCATTTCCTAAAGATTATCTGGGACGATTTTTAAGTCTTCGTGACGTTTATGTGAACATTGACATTGCCATGGCAACTTAGTTTTGACAGCCATGTATTTCAAAAATTTGCTTTTATCGTATAACTGAGAAAGACCTAATTTCTTTGTTTCCTTTATTAATGTCGTAGCGGGACTCAGTGTCACTGATGGTTTCGTACTGTTCTTCTAAATCTTTCCCGCGCTCTGAGAATTGGTTCTTCACTTTGAAGAATATTTGCGGAGCTGGACAAACCCAAACGTAAACTATCGGAGATAAACTCAACATCGATGCAGGTAAGCTTGTTTTAGCTGTTTTTAAACTAGGAATTATTTTGAATGAATGATAAAAAAATTATTGAATTCGGCTTTCGTATTATATGAAGAATTATGGACTCTGGCCTACGGCGTCGACGGATAACACCCTCCTCGATCTCCATAATTCTTCATAAGATACTCAGCCTCATTCATTAATTGTTAAATAAGTTACGTCAGCTTTGTGAGAGAAGATGGACCTATATGAACCCATGCATATTAAACTTCCTGGACCCATTTTGGCTTATGTGCAATCGCGAGGAACAAAAACACCTGCCTAATTAGATCCAATTAGCAGCAAGTTATGTCATTAGTGTTGGAAATCTCTTTTTTCAGCCATTCTTATGCTAACCAGCCGAAAAACGGTTCAAAATGCGTTTTTTCCCTAAAAGTTGCCTGACGGCCAAGGTTTAAAGGCGCACAAAAATTGCAAGGCCCGTACGGACGAAGCGTCTTTCTGTTTTTCTCAGTGTAGCATGAAGCACACAGGGGAATTGATCGCCCAGCCCTAGGCGAAACACTAGTCCATCCCCTGACAGTATCTCGCAGGATACCCATTCATACGCTTGGGTGAAGAGGGATAACTGGTGGAACAAAGTTTCTCGTCTAAGGAAACAACACAACCTAGACTTACAGATTCCAAGCAGTGGCGGATCCAGGCGAGGGGCCACCCTTATTTTTGGACCAAACTGAGGCCCGAAGGGCGGAAAAAATTTTTTTTTGGAGACCAGCACCCCCTCCCACACTTATCTAAGGGTGTAGATGACCACCCTCCCGTCCCCCATCCCCTTATCTCACGGTCTGCATCCGGCACTGCCAAGTTCGCAGTTTTAAACTTCTCGGCCACATGCCTCCACGCGACAAAAAAGTTCTAACTCAATAAAAGGATAGTCGAAAAAAAACAAAACAAAACAAAGACAAAACAAAACAAAACAACAAAACAAAAACATACAGGAACTGACTTTTAGAAAGTATGCCTTTAATGCAAATTGGTAAAAAAATTGTTTATTCTATTGATAATTGGTGCAAACTGAGCAACCCTTTAACTGTCTTATGGTTTCCTCATTTGGCGTCGACGAGAACCAATGAATTATTGTTATTAACATGACTCGTCCGGCATGAAACTAGATGGTGATTGCGCGCTACCAGGAGCACACACCTTTTAAGACCTTTAAGAAAATTCGATTTAATATTGACTGACGTCCTCGATAGCCCACGTTCGTTATATTAACATTCTAACATGACCCCGAGGCTTTCTGGTTACTTTTCCATATTTGGTTTGGTTTTCTTTATGTTCAAGTCTCTTCTGGGAATTGCAAGACAATAGAGTCGTGAACAATTTACAATTTGACCCTTAAGCCTCGGAGTCATGTTGGAATTTTAAAATATCGAAGGTGAGCTATTGACAGTCGATAAGGACAGTGTTTTTGTTATTTTTGGACGAGACAAACAAATCTTGAGTTTTCAGTGTAGAACAAGCTCTTGCCCGCGCACAGACAAGGAAACAGGTGATGACTACACACAGGCTAACGCCGCGAAATTATTAGTGATCCAAGTGCACGATAATAATAACAATTTCCTTTTACAAAATATGTTGGTTACTCCACATGTAAGGCTAAAGCCTTTGCCATAAGCCTGTCTGTCATGGGCGCGTTTTCCTTCATGGCCTTTCTCTCCGCCAGCAGGCTCCTAAAAAATAAATTTTTGAAACGAAAATGTACTCCACTTTAAATTTAAAATACAATCTAACCTCTTCTTACAAAACCCACATAAATACGGCACCTCCCTTAACGGGCAGATCTTTTGTCTCTCAAGATCGCAAAACTTTCACAAACTGTACCTTAGGGTCTAGGCCAAACGTCGGAACTTTTTATGAGACGAACCAAATTTGGGTCGTCCAACACGTTCTGTCCGTCTACTTCAGACAGATAGAACAGCTGAAGATCATCTCCGAGACAAACATCGATCTGCAATAGATTTTCTAAAAGTCGTTTATTTTTTTTCCTTGTTGGTTATTTGAATAAATGCTATTTTAAAGACAACTCGAGACTTCGTCGCTTGCTCGGTCACTGCGCGACCTCAAGCATTGAAGCTCGCTTCGCTCACTTTTTAAAGAACTTATGGCTGCGTGAAAACGGACGCAACAACTCCCAACATTGTTGCGCCAACACTGTTGGGAGTTGTTGCGTGCGTGTTGGCAGTGATGGATGCAACAACTCCCAACAATGTTGGAAGAGCTGTGCAGACGGATCCAACACTGTTGCGATCACGGAACAAAAGAAATGTTGGGAGTCGTTGGCTGAAAAGTTTGACCGGTTTCAAACTTTGCGCAACAACATCCAACAACATGTAACAGGGTGTGCAAACGGACGCAACATGTAACATCCACCAATGTTGGAAGTTGTTGGCCAGCAATGTTGCGTCCGTTTGCACAGGGCTTATGAGAGGTCGTATGTATGATGATGTATATTTAGCCTCGTTCGATAGAACATTTATTGCTGAGGTTACTCAATTGATTATTTCGACGCGCCCCATGTTCGACGTCTGACCCAACAGATGATCTTAACTTAAATTTTTTAGCCTATGCCTTAGATAAGCAAAACAAACTTTGCACGTACATCAGGCATTTTCTGTGCATTTCTTTGCCGTCACTGCACGACTACGACGTGAAAATGCCTTTTTTCACGTTTTGTGGAGGACGTCAACAAACTACAATGACTTTTTTTTTTTCATTTCTTGAATTTCGATACAGTCCTTTAGAATTCACTGTCAATATTTGACAAACTGAACGAAATGAAATAAGCGCAATAAAGCTTTTAAAAGCAGCGCGAATTCACTTGTGAAGTTTTCGTAGCCGTAATAATTTATGTTTAGCGTTTTCGAGCATCTAAAAATTATAATTACGTCGTGTCCACTCTCTCTCGCTGCAGAATGTGCGTAATTACCAGCTTAGCAAATAAATGAACGTCATCTTACCTCACAAACTGGTGATGTTGTTTACTGGTCGAATTCAGAGCAACGTGAATCAGGAACAGATTAAACAGATCTCGCTACGAGCAAAGAGAAGAATCGTCATTACAAATTACGCTGTTGACTTTTCATTTATAGACGTGTCGCGAGACGTAGTTCGTATTTTGCACAAGGCAAGAAAAAAACACAAACACAAACAACCGAAAAACAAAACCACATCCAAAAAAACAAACAAACAAACAAACAAAACGAAACAAACACAAACAAAACAAGCACCTCCATATTTCCACAGCAAGAGGTGACACTTATATACAGTACTCTCTGTCTTAAAGACAAGTCTAAATTGTTTTGCATTGTTGCTCAACTTATCGCTCAAACAGCGTCTTGTTTCCAATACAAATTGAATTGTGAAAGAGCACATATCGGGGTATGCATTGCGTCTACCACAACACTGCTGTAACCTGAATGCAGTGCTATTGCAAAACGATGTGATTGCCTTCACACCGTTGAGGGTGAAACGAGATTAAAGGGTGAGAGTTTTCTCTTCTCCTAAGTTATGAAAGAAGCGTAACCTTAATTAAGATAGCACATATTCTTCCAAAAATCGTTGATAATTTATTGAAAAAATGCAAAACAAATAAATGCTTAATATATTTCTATTTATCGAATTTTAATATGAAGTACAATTAAGAAATGCTCGGAAAAAAATCCGAGCCCCCAGCGGGAATAGAACCCACCACCTTGGGTGGTTGGTTATCTAATTTTGTTTCGTCAAAACAAGCCAAATTTTACAGAGGATTGTAATAAGCCGTTCAATGCGTCAAGTCTAAAAGTCTGGGCTGCGCTTTGTGTTTTAAACTTTATCAAAAGCTCTTTTTCAACGCTTTTAAACATTACACGCCACATTTAGGCTTATTCATCTTACCTGTGCATTGCTGCCTCCGATTTTCACAATTTTGTAGCGAATAGGCTTCAGAATTTCAACAGCGTTATCGAAATTTCCCTTAGAAATAAATGAAAAAGAAAAAAAAAAACCTTGATTAAACCAAGGTAAGAGTACAATGCAGATATAACCTTTGGGCTTCCAGAATCATCGGTATTATGTAATAAATTTTACAGGATAATAAAATTTTAATATAGCAGTAACTTGATATCCCAATTGAACGGTGTTTAATTTCACCCAGGGTTCTTCCTTTACATTGACTTTAGGATTTCTCACAAAAAAGGGGGAATCGGTGGGCAAAGAAATACATGAAAAACTTTTGACTGACCTTATCAGCTTGTTCGAAAGCTTCGCAGAGGGCGAGACCGACCTCTTTCGATACCTCACAATTTGTTCCTGCACCATCTCTATAGATAAAAAAGCGACAGAACGAAAGTTTAACTTTCAAAGACAATGTCTTGACATTCACTTATACACACGAAGTTACCGTCAATCAAACAAAAAATCGGTGGAACAAACTACAATGGCATCTTGAACTGTAAATCCAAGATGGCACGTTCAAGATAGCAGCCTGATGGTTTTTAAGAGAGACAGCTAAAAGAATACGATAAAATATACCTGACGAATTCTCTGAGTGACGCTAAAAGTTTCAAGGTTGCATCTTCATTTTTTGCTCCTAGTGTACACATTAGCATGTGAACATCGTTAAAAACCTGGAAAAAGTACATCAAAATCCGTCACAGGCTGGCAATCTTAAAAACTCTTCCGCTTTTTGTGGACAAGACGGCTAAGTTTGTCACGAAGATGTCTTTGAGTGTTACAAGGTGTTGTTTTGTATACATTTGGTAGCTTAGACCTCCCATTCCTACAGGGCACGGTACGAACAGACCTTCTCGAAAATAAAAATCACACAATATTTCTCGAGCTTGAGCACATATCCGAAACATTTCCCAGATTTTAGGTTCCAAATGCACCCAAGATTCCCATAACTAAAAAAAGGATGGATCGTGTCTACGACTAGGCATGTAAAAGGTTGTCACATATTCTTAAGTGTCAACTGTTCACAAAAACAGTCATTTCTGGAGATTATGGAAACTAGTTCTAACAACAACAACAACAACAAATGCCGCGTGGTGTAGAAGGGCAATTAAATTTGTCCAAATTTGCTCGTGTGAACATGAATCTATGGGTTAAAATAAGTGTAAACAGACGATTGATCTTACCAAGATATGATCATCTGTATGTGACTCCCAGAGGTGATAAATTTCCTTCCAGCGGTTGCCAACATCAACGCCTAATGACAGTATTAGAGGGTCATGACATAAAATGACCAAACTATCTGGACACTTATTATATCACCTAAAGTCAAGCCTGCATAAAAAGGGTAATGGACCACTGAAATGGACAATTGGCCGCTTGATAAAGGCTTGATAAGCCTTACAAATTAAATTAAATAAAGAATATCACTGTTAAAAAGGACTATTCATCAAAAGGCGAGAGTAGACTCCACATTAGAAATCACGTTTTCGCTGTTGTCGCCATGGCAGTGAGTGTGCCACAGTAACACCAACCTTCCATTTGAAGTCTGTAAAGAAGTGATGACGCGTCCACCAAATCCAACATGGCCCCGGAATGACAGCGCTTGCCAACCTTAAACAGCAATGAGAAAAATAAAGTGTTCAAAGAAAACCACACGTAAACAAACAGACAAACAAACAAAGTGTACGACAGGTTACGCGCCTGAATACTTAACATCTATGTTCGCTACAAGAGGCAGCGTATCTGGACGTACAACCAGGAACTTCCAACAACTAAAGATTTCTCTTTTTTTAAAGCTGAAACAGGACAGAGAACCTTTTATTATGGAAGGGTATCTATCTAGAAAAAGCTCGATTCAACCTTGAAATTATGCAAGAATCCCGCTTTCTTCAAGAGAGCTTTAAAAAATCATCTTCCGAACGAATTTTTATATCAACGATAATTTAATTTTTAAAGTTGAATAATTTGTATTGCATAATATAATGAGCTATATCGTTTGTAGTTAGTTATTTAAATCCTATTCAAATGTATATAATTCTTCGATTTCTGTGTATAGGTTTTACCTGCAGTATTTAATTTTTACTCCATGTTATCCTATTTGATCACTGAAAAAACCTAGATGGGGATGTGCTAAAAAAATGTATGTAATGTAATGTAACGTCATGTAAAGTGGAAAATCTTTGCTGACAATGCAGGTTACCTATTTAACCTCGTTTAGTTTGGTACAAAAACTGACGTAAAGAAAGAAAAAATCGTGCAAAACACAACATGAGATAATAAAAACAAGAACTACAACTCCGACGTTTAAATTTTTTGTAACTAGTTTCTTACGCATTTTAGCTCTTTGCTTGTAATACAAAAGGAAATATCAGCTTTCAAAAACAATACGAAAATGAACAAAATTAATAGAAATTACGGGTGAGAAACCTGTCGATGAGGCTTTTTTATCGTATTGAACAAAGAATGTTTATCTACTATTACGGGCTAAAATTGTCCTGTACCTCCTCGTCATATATATCTACCGCCGCCTGATATTCACCCTGAAAAACAAAACATTGTAAACAAACGTTGTTATAACTTGGAAATTACAGTTTGTTAGCGTGCCAACACGCGCTTTTAAGTGAGTTTCGCGCATTCGTCTCTTAACAGTGTCTCTGTGGTGTATCTTGAGTGTAATTGAGAGCCAATTGCAGCTTAACATTCACGTGGGGCAAAATTCCTTGCAAGAGAGCATGAGATGGAATGGGGCAAGAAAAATAACACCATTACATTATTTTAAATGCTTATCTTCTTTCTTACAAGATGACATCGAAAACAACCGTCTACAGTTAATATATCCGAAATAATGCATATACCTTTTCGATGTGGTATAAAGCCCAGTGCCAGTAATTGTGACAAGCTAACATTGCTCCAGTCTAAAAGAAAAACAAAGAAAGCCAGTGGCTACCATGCGACTCGGATGGTGTAGTGCAATCTGTTGCTGATCAGATGAAAGGGAAAATGGGAATCGAAGTGTGACGTCACATTACCATGGTAGCAAAATTTCTATCTCCACAATCGTTTTTGACAGAGACAGCCATTACCATTGACCAACGATGGAAGAATAGTATTGGCCACCACTTTGTTCTTGAGTTTAATCATGCACAAGAAAGTCATACTTGTCAAATTTTTTTCGTTTGCTTCTGCCATATTTGCAGGACCACGGTTTGTTGAGACCCAAAAGTTTTGCTACCATGGCAACGTGACGTAAGGACTTCTCTTGTCCATTTGCCCATTAAATAAAAAGCATGTTACAGCCAATCCCATTGAAGAATTCGTGATAGTATGTTAACTGGTTTCTATCAATAAGGAATAGAGTTAATTCTTTTAATATTTCGGTTGGTTTTTTTAAGCAAGGGAATCGGATGAGCCGTGCGAGCACTTAGGACTGACAGAAAATCGAAAATGGGAGTCGTAATCCGAACTATAATAGTTCGGCTGCTGACTCCCATTTTTGATTTTCTGTCAAGGCTCCCAAAAAAACGCAAGAATCAAAAAATTTCCTCCGCAAATGACCCCCTCGTTTACGATCTTATAAAAGTAGCCGGAAGGGGGATAAACAGAATTGCAAATATACTAAAACCAATCACAATGTCTGTCCTTTCTGCTTGTGACTTCGACAGTCTAGTTTTCGCTAGATCGAAAGTGACGGAGTCGTATACAGAATCGGCGCTCTGCTTTTACTGAATCACTTACGACTTTAGTCCAGTTCTGTCCCTCTTTGTACGCAACATCTCCCCGGCGTTTCGCGGCAAAGAGTAGCCAGAAACGTCTTCGATGGCTCCGTTGCAGGTGAAAACCAGGCTTAATAACTATTTATCATAAACAAGTGTAAATGCAAAAAGAAGAACCATCGTACTGTCCAGTCATTTATTGTCTTGCTAAGAAATTTGATCCCATCATCTTGTCGTCCCTCCATCTCGATCACATGAGCTTCAGCATGAGTGCTCCAACAGTCCTTTGGATTCAGTTCCAAGGCCTACAATGCATTAACAAAGGTAATAAATCAGTAGAAAGTGACCGAAGTCAAATTTGACACACTTGTCCACATTTAATTTTGCGAAATGCTGAAAAAAAACAAAACAAATGGTACCGTGTGAATGTAATACTAATGGGGGGGGGTTCATTCGAATGGTCATACCATAGGATTTCATTCACAGACTCAAAAGTTAGAACTACATACAAAATAAATAGTACCATGTGAAGTACTGTTGAAGCCGTTTTACAATGATTTGAATGGTCATACCATAGGATTTCATTCACAGACTCAAAAGTTAGAACTACATACTAAATAAATAGTACCATGTGAAAGTACTACTGAAGAGGTTTCATTTGAATGGTCATACCATAGGATTTCATCGACAGACTCAAAAGTTTGAACTACATACTAAAGTCTACGCTATACGTTTTACTGAAATTGTTCACGATAGATCGTGTAAAAGCGTTAAGCAAATCACTGAAAATGGCTTAGAACGCAGTTTTGTTAAATACTTGCTAAACTCCGTTTAAATAACTGGGCCTTGGGGGTTTCAACTCTACCTTAAGAGCATATTTTTCCGCCTCATTGTAAAAGTTTGTTTCTACAAGACCAAAGGCATACATTCCTTGCAGATACCTGTGAGTAATAAAATCTAAATTAAGGTGGTGTAGAACACAAACCATTTATACAAAACGTCTGTTCATTGTGAAGGGAAGTAACTACATACAGTATACCACAGTATACCAGTGAAAGAGGCCGGGGAAGGAGAACCAAAGAAAGACAAAATAAGAGAAAAATAAGGGTGCATTTCCACTGTCGTGTAGCTTTTATGTGCTTGTACGGGTACAACTTACGTGGGTGAATAAAATGGAGGAAATTATAATTTTATGAAAGGTCGCGCATTAACGTAAAAGCTACGAGACCCTGGAAATCTGCCCTTACCTGTCTTACTTAGCCTGCGCCACACACAAAACTAAACTCTCGCTAAGTCCGTCTGCGAAAAAGCGCCGGAATCCTTGTTTTAGGCCCCCATCTGAGTATCAGGATTTGAGCATGCGCCATGGTTGGTCTGTTTGTCGATTGCCAATCAGAATGAGAGGAAAAACGAAACGTATTTCCGGTAATTCGTTGAGTCCGTTGGGGGACTAGAACAAGGATCACGACGCTGCTTTGCAGACGTTACTAACCGGGGTGCGAATTACGTTTTGCGACGGGACCTTACGAAACTGGGAACGGGAAGGTCAAAAAAGCAATAGCTTTAATCAGCAAAATAACAACTCTGCAACGTGTATCACGCTTTTTTGTAAATTTCTTTGCTGTGCCTCCACAACCACGCCGTTTTCATGGACGTAACCGTTGTCTGATCATGGGATCGCGATATATATCCCTGAGCGAATTATTCTTTCTAAAATAACGGTTTTTGCTTAGCGCCCGCGCCTGGGATTTGAAGAAAAGGCTTGGTTACCAAGACTAAATCAAATACTGGCGGTCAGTTTGAACAGGTTTGAATCGAACGATGCATTTTTTTCGTCTTTTACAAGGGATATATGGGAGAAAAACGAACAGGAAAGACAAAAAACAACTGCTATGTGAGTAACTAAAGTATATTTGAGACAAATTTAACGTTTATTTAGTCGAAACTGATGTTTCTTATAGCTAATACTTTGCCCAGGGAGTGACCTAGAAACTGTTGTGTCTTGTGGGGTACATACGTGTAGAAGAACTACTAGGAAAATAGTAGTTGCCGCCCCTATAGTTTCTGTTGCATGGGACCTGTGACCCCAGTTGACAGGGGCATACCCAGCCTTTTCGCAAGGTGGGTTCTAACTTGATTGAAATTATTGATTATTCACCCAAGAGAGCCCAATAAATTATACAGTAATCCAGAATGCATGATGCATATCTCACATGTAGAGGTAGAAGAACATTTCTTGATATTTTTTCCCTAGGATTCTTATTTCTCAATTTGTTTTCTGAAGGTCAGTGCATAAAGGGGATACCAAAAAATCTCTTGAACCCTACCTCCTGTCAGCTGTTAGCCTGCGAACACAGACTTTACTTCCGGTCTTCGCCTTTTCACCCGTCCTTTTCACCTGAAAAGGACGACCGGAAATACGTCTGTATTTGCAGGCTAACTCAACCCCCTGGGAGCACTCCTAGTTTGTCCCTACCCCACTGGGCATCTCTGTGTCAAGTTAAGTCATAGCCTCCTTTGCAGCCATTTCATCTAGTCACATTGTGTGACAAGACAAAGAACAGTCGCAGGGGAGACTAGTAAGTCTATAAATTACAAAACCACCTCACCCATAAAGTGGCATGCCTTCTTTCCAGTGAGGAAGTACACGGGCAATGGAATCTCTGATGAGCTCTTGGTAACCCATGTAGAAATATGAATCATGAGCCATTTTTAGTGCAAACATGTCGGTTGGATTTTCCACCAAAATATCTTCCCATGTTATACATGCCTGTGCTGTATTTCTAAAAGAAAAAAAAAACAACAAACAAACAAAAAACGGATTACAAGTGTCAATTGATCCTTCACCTGTAATGCCAGGCAATTTTACAGGTATTTTTTAAGTACTGTTTAAAAAATTAATGGGCAGGAGTGCATTATCAAGTTGAAAAACATTTCAGCGCTCGAAGTTAACTTTTTACTACACTTGCAAAGTTTTGCTAGAAACATTCTTTCTTCTAGCAAACTGGTGAGACCACTAGCAAATTCTTTCCCTTTTTTAAATTGTTGGGAGGCATGGATGACTCTAACTCGCAAATGTTTGTAACTGGATATTTTTCTCACTCACAGATTTTCAAAATCACTTGCATTTTCCGAGTTTGTGAACATTAATTTCGAGCCCGGCACTTCTATAATAAAAATGTGATTGGAACGTTTACTGTATAGTAAAAACTGTTTTGTTTTTCTTACTTCCGGCTATTTGCTTCAAGCTCCCAATAACTTGACCTTTTTTTCAATTTCCCTTGAAGGTTCGAGTTATCTGGGGTCTACTGTTCAATCAAAAGGCAAAAAAAAAAAACAAACTACCCTTCAGCCCACTCCTGTACAGCTCTCACATGCAGCTTTTCTCTATTAGTGATGCTGCTTGCTGCTGTGGCAAGTGATTGTAGTGTATCCATCCTACTCTTCAGATCCTGATTTACGTGAATACCTATGCCAGATGATATGAGATCCAACCCGCAGGATAGTACATGGCCCATAACTGGAACAAAAGGTTCAACTGAATGACTGAAAAATATTATTACTTATTGATTGTTACCCGTGAAATACATGTAAATGTGGTAAAAAAAAAAGGTAATATGGGACTGCAGATAAAATTAATATAAAAATTTTCTACATGTTACACGTCAGGCAAGTATAATGGGAAAGAGAGGTGTGCAGTCTATCACAAGTCACTCAGAACCTGCCTGCACCCTCCCCCCCCCTCCCTCACCCCCACCATTTCTGCAATGGTCGTAACAGAAGAGCAGATCTATGGTTAATACCTGTGGGCATTTGATACAGTTGGGAACTCCGACACAATTTTCCACACTTTCAAGTTCTAATATTATTTTCTTGTTTCTTTCTGGGATTAATATACAAGTGCCACAAGAGGAAAAATGACTGAATATTAAGCTCTATTTAACTTAAAAGTTCTCACGATGCTGTCTTTTCTTAACTAATCATGAATGACTATAAAATATAATATGGTAGAAGTTATGGTTGATCCACATACATGTACATGTACAGTGTACACAAGGAGACTGGGAGGTCAAAATCAAAAATGAAATGAAATAAACTATAAATAAAAGTTATACAAATTAAGTCATGTACATAAGTAATAATGACAATTACAGCATGTACATGAACTTACAGTGTAACGCTTTAAAGCCACTAGAAATGCTAGTGTAGCATTACACTTAATAAACAGTTTGTCAAGTTGTGAGCTCCGGCTGTCAATTTACAACTGCAATCATATGGGATCTTTGTTAATTAAACTCACCGAAAGTTGGATCAGCTGCGATCATCTTAGAAATTGATCCCTCAATACCACCAACAGTAGAGTCATCATACCACCCTGTGTACTGCAATATGATCAGACGAACATTATCAGTTTTTAATATTATTAGTATCATGCACTTTACCAATCTACAGTACACCCAAGGTGTAATAATATACAGCAAAGCTATATTAAGCAGAAACCCTCCATTATGCTAACACAAATGCCATGAGTCCCAAACTTTCTTGCCAGGCAACACCCCTATAGCACACACCATTGAAAGCAATATATGTGTGCATTTACAAACCTGTACAGAGCTGCACATGTCATAGCCTGGTTTGAAACCGAGGGGGACTGGGTAAAATAGATTGAGGCCTGTCAAGATTTTCAAAATTCAGTGTTTGGTGTTAACCAGGCTGACAATGGACCAGCTTCACATGCTAAACACAATTTCATGTGCTTGCTAATAATGCAACAATTAACAAATTTGACTCTCCCATAAAGAGATCTTTATTTGCAAGCTACACCTCACCCTCAGGGGAATGTGCAGGCTGACACTGTCCACTCGACAGTGTTTGTTTAAAAATGTTGACTCCAAATCATCGGCTTTCTGCTCTTCATGGTTTTATGTAACCAAACATAAATGAAATTAAAAAAGGTATTACAAATCAAGTGAAATCAGTCATTTTATAATGATATACACAAACCAACCAACCTGTGTTAAAGTAGCATCATACATTTTTGCTGCTTCATTACTTGTAGTACTTAGAGGTAATCCTTCACTTCGCCAAGCCTTTAAAACAAATAAATAATTTTCATTTCAAATGTATTTGGCATCAAAATGTGAATCCACTTGAAATCTCTTTTCAGGTGTTTACCGGTAAAGAGTCACTTGGGGTTACAGTGGCGCACTTTAAAATCAGCTCAATTTTATTATTGGGAGCCTGTGGCGGAGCCGATAAAGTTTTCGGTGACAAGTAGTCTCTGTCTAAAAAAAAGACAAAATGATGGACGCTAACCAAGAAGGCATTGCGTGTCCCACCCCCCTGCAATGAGGACAATCATTTGACTTTTTGAGGGGGAAAGGCTGGTTGTTTCAGATATACAGTATGTAAACAAGAAAAAATGGGTACAATCAATTCTACCACAAATGAATGAAAAATATGAAAATGAAAAGTTACCCTTATAAAACGAGAAAAGATAGGCATTATTTTTAACTGGGACATTTTCACAATGAGACCCCTCTACCCAACCTCTCTGCCCGCCCCACCAAAAAAAATATATAACATGACAGCGTAATGAGACTAAGATTTGATCAAAATTGCATTTACATGTAAAGCTCTTCTAACTATCCAGGTGAATATCATGTTTCTGTTTGACGAGGAAGCAGCCTAATATGGCTCCATTTTTATTAATATTACTATTATTATTGTTACTTCTATTATTTATTTATTTAGTTATTGTTATTTATTTTCAACCAATAAATCAATCAATCAATCAATTTATTTGCCCTTTTTTACATACAATAATTACACAGTCTTAAAATTAAAATATAATTGGGCAGGAACTCTCAGCAAACTTTGTAGGGCTTTTCGAGGAGAGCCCCTGGACAAGTTTTTTTGTAAGTATGATTATCATTTAAAATTACATGTCGGTATTATAGATTAAATGGACAAAGTATGTTGCAGCTACTCACATTTTTTATGTTTGAATGAGAATCTCATATATATACATATATATCTATTTTTCTATTTGGGGAGAAAATGAGTTTTGATTTTTTTTCCTAAATAAACAGAATGATTTTATGAGGTTTTATGTCTTTGATGGATTTTGTCAAGTTGTTCCTTAATTTTTTTTACAAACGCCAAGGGATATTAGGTCAGTAGACCCTTCCAAAGGCTTTTATCTCTTGACAAGGAATCCATTGTTGTTATGTCTGGGACGAGCATAAGTAATTTAATATGGGGTCATAAACCTGCCCCAGTAAAATCCCGTTAAGTTGCGGAGCCATATCTTGGTTAGATTTCAAGATATCATTTCCAAACTTGGCAGCTTTACTAATTTTGATGTTTTCTTTCCAGCAGTGTTGATGGATTTTTATTAACTTAAAAAAACAAACAAAAACAAGCAAACAAACGAACAAAACAAAACGAGGAAGAACATGGTCTCATCTCCTCACGACGATGTAGACGTACCGGACGTACGGTGTAGTTTTTTAAAAAAATATGCGCATGCAACGCAAACAGCTTTAAATCACAATTGTTATTAACAAAATCGCGATTTAAAACTTCGATCACGATTCACCACCATGATCAACCAAGCCATACAGTCCGCCAGCCCCGCCAAAATTGAGGCGAAGCGGATCGATCCAGCCAGCAGAAATTTCAACGAGCAAAACTTACACATTCTCACCTCAAGATCTCTCCAGTTAGTGTGCAAATACGACATGGCTGCAAAGGTTTCAGGAAAATTTATCAAGAGCGAGGATCCGAACTTATATCGGCAAAAGATGGAATGAATGGACTCTTGTGATCGTCACGATCGTCACGGAAAACATTACGCCCGCGGTTAGTAAACGTCAGTGGTAGCCCCCATGGAACAAATCGTACTGTGTGTCAACGCATGTGCCACACAACAAAAACATCTGTGCCCGCAGACACTACTTTTATGTCTTGGGAAAGCCGGCTTTTTTATCCCTAAAGCATTTATTTTCTTGGGTCCGAACTTATAACAGGTACTTCTAACTTGAACAAGGAAGGAGTTTTTCTACCTGAAGGTAAGATGGGATAAAAATCCTCATTCTACGCAAAATGTTTTCTCCCATGAAACGCAAGGACACCTGATCTGAGCGCGCATCGACTCAGTGAACAGCCCTGTCAATAGACAGTTGGGCTTAAAGATTTTAATCGATGCCAATGTGGTCCATGATTCTTATTTTTAAAACTTCTATGCAACATCAAATCATTTCTGATATCGTTTGAAATATCCGGGAAGTTGATTTATAGTGTCAGGAAAATCGTGCATTTTAGATGGGTGTCTTGAACCACGATTTTACTTAGTCTATGTTCTCTAAATAAACGGTAATCAAATGCCTCCTTTTTCTCCGCTAAGCTTCTTTTGTTCTTTTTCCTTTCCTTTCATGAACTGTTTTTATTTATGGCTCCATCCAGTTTTTCCCTTTTCTTTTTGAGTGCACTGCGGAGGAATCATTGTATCATTATAATATTTCCCATGTGAAGTTATTATTAGTATTCATGAATTTTAGACAGCCAAGGTTTTAACACCTGTCATGTAGTCATTTAGCTGGACAAAGGGCATTATTATTATAATATTCCATCTGAAAAGCGTTGAAAGGAAACTGCTATAATAATTCTCCAGACACTACACTCTTTTAATAAAATGATTCAGTATAAATAAGAGTTTTAATTTAGAAAATCTTGCATTATTTTTTCCCCAAGCATTTTAAAAATATTTAGACACATTTTCATATTTTATTCATAAGGACATCAGCTCCTATGCTAGTCATTAACACAGTCATTGCCTGTTATTTCTGGCTATTGGTGTCTCAGTGTGTATTTTAGCTGTGAACATTTAAAAGGCTGTGGACATTCTAAGTGAAGGAAAATGTCTTAAGACAGCTTTGCTTAAACTCATATATTAATTTTGTGACAAAAACTATAATAATTTGGAATAACTGATCCCACAAGACAAAGATCCTGCTGATGTAAAAAAATCATCATAGAAATCATACCTTAAAGAAAAGAAAGAAACAGGTTTCCTTATTGTAAAGGTGTTAAAAGGAAAGGTGAAAGTTTCGTTAGTATGAAGCATGCCTAGGGGTATTGCTACTCCCCCCTGGACAGGAAGCTAGTCTAGTATGTTGCCACTACCCATTTATACACCTGGTTGAAGAGAGACAAAGTGGAGTAAAGGTTCTTGTCCATGGAACCAATGCAACAGGCAAGGTTTCAACCTAGATCTCCAGATCCAGAGTTTCAGTTGTGAACAACTCACCCACCTATGCCTCCATTTCCTTATTGCATTATCCCACTATTTAACCCTTAAGAGTGATCAGCGTGAAATTTCTTGTTATTATGTCAATGCTTTAGAAAACAGAGAGGTTATGAGAATTGAGTACATGATCAGGGAAGATGTGTATACTGTAATTGATGAATTAACAAATTCGCCCCACTACTTCTGTTGAAAAAGTATAGGGACAGTATATGAGAATCCCAATTTTGATATTAGGGTTAAAAGGGATAAAGAAAGTGAGAGGAAGTGGAGGGGGCATTTTTTCGGGAAAGGGCCCTGTTTAGCCTTTTAGTGGAGTTGGTGGGCTCTGAATATTAGGAAGCATACTAGAGGATGGATGCTTCAATGTTTTGTGAAAATAATCTGGTTTAAAGTGGCAATTAATCAGAAGAGTGATTACAGTAGACTGACAGGTATGTTCCTTGTTCAACCTGTCGCTCAGATATTTTAGATTATCATCGGAGTATAATATATTGTGCGTAGTTTAAATTTTTTTACTTTTATATTGTATAAGTAATTCCAATTATTTAATTATAGATTGTGTCCCCAAATTAGTATAGGGTTGTTCCCAAGCTATACGGCTCTGACACGTACATTACTAATGTTCTGCCAGTATCAAACATTTTCATTAAGGCAACTGCAAGTACTCCATAGAGGTTCTGTCTTGTGCAAGCCACTGTCATTAAAGCCTAAAATGTTACTTGAAATTTACATCGAACTTTCTCAGGAAAAGAATTTTATTTGGTTCTTGAATTTACGTATTACTGGTATCTTTCTTCACAGTGAGTCGTTTCAGTGTTCATCTGAAATGGCTGAAGTGGAAGGTGTCTGCAGCGTTGGTATGGAGTATGAATCTACTGCTGTTATCTGTAGGCCAGCAGAAAGTATGTACTGCTTTATAAGGATAAATAAAATAATTTTCTGTCTAGCATGAGAAAAAAGCTAACTTAGTGACATTTTGTGAGGCCAGCCATTGTTTCCCTGCAACGTGGCGTCTGAGGAACAACTGCAAAAGTATTGAGGATATGTGACTACCAGATCTGGGCAAATTTCTCTCACAGCACAAGCAATCAGAAGCGCATGTTGTTTCCAAAGCAAAATAACCTCAAATAATTTGCATTCTTATTATTATTTTTTGTTGGAGTTGAATTGTTGTTAAGATAATGCATTTTTTTATAAGTGATAAAATTTCTTTTAGATTACGTGACTGGCTATCCATTAAGGATCATTAAACGTGTCTGGGAAACTGCCCACCTACCCCTCCCTGAAGCCAACATTTTGCTCTAAGTGAGAAGTTAGTGTTATGTTGTCTTAGGGGAGGGGTAGGTGGGCAGTTTCCCAGACACGTTTTTAAATGAGTCATTAGTTTTAGGGAGATCATGCCAAATTTGTTTTTATAACCACTGATAACTTACTATTCCTTTAGATTCTCCAGCTGCCTGGAATTTTTTTTAGTTCAAGTTGTCTAAATACAAATAAATAAATAATTATGACTCTCCTACTTTACAGTGTTAGAAATTCCTGAGGGAGTCCTTTCTGAAGAAAATATTCACAGAGTTGATATAATTGAACCAAAAGAGAGCAGAGAATGGAAGAAAAAACGTAAGTTAAACATTTACTCTTTTTCTGTATTATTAGACTAAATAAGAGCAGAAAAAGTAGGTGTTTTGTCAAATTTTGTGTTGCATTTTGCAGTTTGACTGCCTCATTAAAGAGATGCTTCTTATTCCCCAGCTTAACCCATCTCTCATTGGAAAGTAACTCTGTTTGTGCTAAAGTGGTTCTTTTAAACTTGCCTTTATTAGTTTGCTTGAAACTCTAGCTTTATATACATTTGCATAATTGTTCCTTTTTATTAGTGCATTGTACTTGCATAGTATTGATAATGGGGTTACGTTCATATATGACACTAAAACGTCGACTTTTTACTTGCTTAGTTTTTTTCTGTTTTATCACTAAATCACTGTTGATCATTACATGTGAGAGAGATTCTTGTTACATGTGACTACTTAAATTTTATAGGCACGGTTCTAATTAGTAACTTTTCTAATTCTCTACACCAGTGGCCATTGTTTTATTAGAAATGAATATAACTCTATCTTTTTGCTGATCAAATCATATGAAATAAGTACATACAGTACATCTTGAAATAAATACATGCATATCTGGATAATGTTTATTGATCAATTCTATGCAACTTGTGCGCTGGAGTGATCAGATAATATTATTTTGCTTCTTTTATTACTGGCTTTAATAAACAACGAAAAAAAACTTTCTCAACCTTTCAGTAATTCATAAACTTTTTTACCCCCCAGCTTGTTACCATCCAAAACAAAAATAAATTAAACCATCCCCCTCCAGTCCGTCTTTAAAAAGTACTGTATACTGTAACGCCAATATTAATCCTTCTCAAGACATCCTCCTCTTCCCTATCCACCTCCCCCCCAAAAAAGCCCTTCCATCATTGCTTTAAATTTAGAGTATTCCTTCCTTCTTCGCCTGCACTGTAATTGAAATGATTTTTCCTCCGCAGATTCGAAGCAGCAAATAATACTGCAAAAGAAGAAAGAGTTGTACACAAAACTTGACGAGATCCTAGTTTTTGCTCTCCGAGAAGAGTTTGAAATGTGCGCGGGGCACTCCATTGACCGCATTGAAATGATCGAGTTTCTGACTAATGTTGTGCATCGGCATTTAACCGATTGTCCAGAGCTCCAGAAGGTGTTGGATCTCCGCGATACAGTCCTGACAGGTCGCGTAAAAAAGGCTTTTCCTAGGGTGGAATTTAAACGGAAACAAATGCGAAGAGAACATCACAGAAAAGTGTATCCTTGGAAATATAATTTTTTAGGGGTTTGCATGTTTAATTTCAATTGGCAGGAATTATTATTTTTTTTCTCCTTCTCGCGCGCTTATTTCTCACATGACTTAACAACAAGAGTGTAAGGGCCCGTCTACACGTAAACGGCGTTTTCGGACACAAACGAGGCGGGTTTCGAAAACGGTCCCCGAGTTGAGTACCCTGGGTACCAGAGGATTTTTCTCGCGTGTGAACGGAGACCGACACGGCCGCAGACCGACACGTGTTCGGACGTTTTCGCGCAGGTTACTTTTTAAGGCTTGACCGAAACCGGAAACCGCACATGAAAAGCCTCTGGCACCCAGGGTATGAGTGGAATTGTTTGAAAATTCCCGCTTATCGTATTCGTATCGACGGACGATGGTTATGTCATACACAATACAGCGCATGCCCTGTAAGTAGAGAACTTTAGATTCGAGGACGAGAACGACTACGAAGAGGGCATTTAATTTAAAGTTTTCTCGCCTATTCTCTAAAATAGACACCCCGGAAAGTTTCTTTGTACTTTTTCACCACCAAAGTTAGCACGCTTAGGGCCTGTTTACAAGGAGAGAGGGTTACCCTACAAGATTTGAAATAATACGTGAAGTTCTCTATGGAAAACACGTTAAGTTAACAAAAAAGCGGGAAAATATTATCGTCGTATGCCAAAAATATAGATATGGAAAATATTATCGTCGTATACCATCAACTGACGTGATACAACTCACTTTGACTCTGAAGATGACTACCGCACAGGTTGTCGAAACGTCAGTCACTGCCAACAACAACAGTCCTATTCAGGACTACGTTCACGCGGACGATCAAACTCAACCTACTTTTGATACCTTATATCGTTCAGGTGTTTCTGATTTGGCTCAGAAATTGGATAATTCCCTTCAAATTGTCAAGATTACTGGTCATGTATGACGGAGGAAAGTTGTCCCGGGTAGGCGAGTTATCCCTAGCAGAGCGTTTACAAGGCAGGGAGGGTAACCATAGCGCTCAGGTAGGGGTATGCTAGGGTGCAAAGAAAGTTTGTTTTACGGCTTGCCATTCGGGCAAGTTTTTGCTAGTATCTACTTGCCCAAGAGTCTTTAAAGTTTTGACTTTCTTTGCACGCTGCCTAGCGCTAGGGTGACCCTACCTGCCCTGTAAACACGTCGTGTAAAAAAAAGAAGAAATGCATGTGCGAGGGCCAGGGTAACCCTCTTGCTAGGGTAGCCCTACATGTAGCACCAGGGTTACCCTCCCTCCTTGTAAACAGGGTCTTATTTTTGTTGAAGGAGGTAAAGCCCTCTCCCGACGCTAAATGATATTTCTAACGTTCGATAACTTGTTTTCGCCACTACGACATTCTGGCGTAAACTTGAAGTAGACTGACGACGGCTACCAAATTTTCCCGCCAAAATGGCGTTGGTTCGCACGCGCGTACTACTTAGTATTGGGAAAATCTCGTTCTCGTAGTCACCGTGTTCGTCTTAAGATGTTACACGGGACGATTCGCAACGACGATTTCCAGCGCCACACAGCGTTGCAATGTTGGAACAGTGTTGTAACTACTCAAGACAATGTCGCAACAATGTTGCGACCCTAACCCTAACCCTAACCGCTGAAAATCGTCGTTGCGAATCGCCTCATGTAACATCACCTTTAGAATCTAAAGCTCTCTGGTGATGTTATCTTACTGTATGTCCATTGTTTTAGCATTTTCATGCGGACGGGCGAAAAAGATTCCAATACACTACTTTTGGACACGTATTTTCTCGAAAACAGAGGGAAAAAATATTCGTTTTCAAATCTGTTCGGATACTTGTGGACGAGCATTGAGAATCACGTTTTCTAAATCTCTCCATCGCGAGAATCGGCACAGTCATCTAAGGAAATTTAAAAGAGTAACCCCCCCCCCCCTCCCCTTTTCTCAAGAGAGAGGAGTCTAGCAATTATTCGTTCGCCTTTAGACTGTGCATCAGAAACTACAAAATCAACTTCAGTTCTTCTTTCTTGACAACCTAATAGCTGGATTTATGTTAACATAAGACGAAAACTCAGCCGAACTCCTACAGACACTCCAGGTATGTACGAACTTAAAACTTGCGCACATATTACTGGCAGAATGTTCGAGGCGTATCGTCGGCATATTCGTCCTGTTTTGAAAATACTGTAAGAGAGACAGTTTGGTAGGTCGCTCATATGAAGTTTAAAGAGAATAAGACCGAGGATAGTACCTTGAGGAGTGCCGCGGCAAGTTTAATGTTCAATGCCTATGTTGGGATACAACCGTTCAGGAAACATCCTCTTCTTACGAAGCTCCAAACAGGATTTGAACCAGTGATGACAGAGGTTTCTAAAAACATAACCTTTGTAACCTTGATGAAAGGATAGAATTGTCGAGTCAACAGAGTCGAAATTCTTCTTTAGATCTAGAAAAACCGCTGAATTAAGGGTGCGTTTAATGGATCGTATTCCGGAATAAAAATACACAAAGGTTTTGTGACATACCGTGATTTTTGGACCATTTGGCCCCTATATTAATCAGAATATTTTAATTTGAGCAGAGTTCTAGATATTGCAGTAGAATAAATGCTAAAAAGGTGATTTCGAGAATTGATTCCATTGTAGCTTATTCCGGAATACAGTCAATCGACCAAGCCCTAAGTCACCTTTATCAAGATCAAAAGCCCAACTTTCGAACAGATAGCATCCCTGACGGCGTACTGGAAGTTGGATAGTTATAGATCTGGTTGTAAACTGTTCTTTCAATGACTTTTGCTGCAAAAGGATTTATAGACATCGGGCATTCGTCTGCTAGGTGACAACTGCTCGCTGGTTACCTAAAGGATCGCCTTAGCCGTAGCTAGCGGGATTTAACGGTCGACAGCTGCTTTCCAGGATTGCTTTTATGTCATTTTTTAAGGTGCAAAACCGCGAGAAGAATGGGGATAAGTCAAATACTAGGCGATTTCCGAGTTGCCTCAAGCCTCTGTTTCAAAGCGAGGCCAAGTGCGAAGACATTGACACTAACATGATTTTATATTCTCGTGTAAATGAAGCTCATTTTCAAAAGGAATGTTTTGCACTTAACCTCGTCGTTTATAAACCCAGAGAGCTTATAACAAAAAGTCTACATTACTTTCTAACCATCCAGCATTTCTTGCCATTTCTCACTATCCAACTTTATCATCTTTCAACAGTACAAACAAGTCACAAGGCTACCCCTACCAAAAACTGGACACCACTGGCTGCTACACCATCAAACCCGACCTCCCAGACACCATCATCACCCGTTAGTGAAGATGCATTAGCCAGTTTCTGCCCCCACCCTAACACGTCGTACGAACGTTGTCATTCAAGTCCTTTAGAAGTAGCTGAAAGCGTGTCGCCCAGTGAAAGCTCTCCAGAGTCTGTCTCTGGCTTTGATGGCGTACTGTCATGTCTTAGTGCGTGTAACAGCTATGACAATCAATCTACTGAGGGGAATGGATTATTGATAGACGGCGTTGCTATGCAGAGATGGTAAGTCCCGTTTGTTCAAGACGAAGTTGTTACCTCGTCGCAAATATTTCTTAAATGCTAAAATTATTTAATTTGTTTACTACTACTTTCTTCTTTATTATTTCCTGGTCATTTGAAACAGAACAAGACGCCGTGAGAGCCTATTCCTGGGTGTACAACAGAGTCTTTCGTCATTGATATAGTTTCACTTCGCTTTGCCATACCTTACGTTAACTTACATCACTGGTAGCTCAACCTTCGAAATATACGAATTTGTATTGGGAAAAATTGTTTGTTTCTGTAACCTATGTACATGACAAGCCTGTGAAGGCTTAAATGAAAATGTATTACCTTACTTAAGTTGTGAGTTTCTCCCTTCTTGTATGGTCCCGAACTGATTTATGTCCGTTTTAAGGTTTTTATAAGAACCGATTTGTTCTCTCTAAGAATATAATGCAGAGGAAGGAAACTGCTTCTTATAAAACCAATTAATGAGCATAAAGCTGCTCGGGGACCAGGCACAAAAAATTCCCCGCCATTCCTGCTTTGAACAACTGGCATCAGGAATGCTTCTATCCACGAAAATGGTGGAATCTCGCGCGCATCGAAGCACCCATTGCGGGGTACTTTTAAGGTAATGTTACGCGTGACGATTATCAACGACGATTTTTAGCGAAGCACGTCTTTGCAACAGCTGTTAAGGAGCCGTTCGTAAGGTCTCTCCTGATTGGTCTTTCAATTGTTTCGGTATTGTTTGGAGTTAGGGTTAGGCACCATTGGTGCAACGTTGAAACAATAATGCAACCATTCAAAACAATATCGCAACAATATTGCAACGCTGTGCTGTGCTAAAAGTTGTTGTTGCTAATCGTCTCGCGTAACATCACCTGTACACTTCCATAACATAACTTGCACTCATTTTTTATTTGTCTCAGGGTTGTATCGCACTATGTTCAGGATGACACGTCCTTTGTACCTGTTCAAGACGTAGTCAAAGCTTTCAAAGAGGAATACAATGTCGATCTTAGTTATAAGGAATGCCACCAGATGATACTATCTGCCTTTACCACGCCTAGAAACCGTTTAATTGCTAAGAAAACGGTTAGGGTCTCGACATTTGGGCAACAGTACGTCTACAGAGGAATTGCTCCTATTAATAAAGCTATCTGTTCTTCCGGCGAAACAAAGGTATGGTCACAGGAAAATAATTTTTTGTTTAATCTGGATAAAATTAATATCAAAAACCTGTGAGCAAAGGTTTCTCTCTTGCATAGCTTTATGCGTTAGATAAATTGTTCGCGTGGCCTGTCTTTCACGTAGTTGGTTCGTTACTCTGTATGCTCGCAGGGTAAAATATCCATTTTTTTGCTTTTGATTTCAGCTTTAATTGGTTTAAAATTCGAGGGACAGTGGTGAGGCTTACGTACAATCAATACTAATTATCAAAGAATAGATATGAATTTATTGTACTCAGGGGTTAAGTTCGCGCCGGCGCAAAAGCTATCCGTTATAGTATGAGCTGAAACAAGTCGACGTCTTGCTGGAGCTGTTGGCCGAGAGGGCCTGGTGCACTAAATGTGAATATTTACTTCCGTCTCAGTGGATTCCGGTGTCTTCACGTTTGTCACTTCCGCTACGGTCTGAATACCTGTTCAAACTATCCGAAATTTGGCACTCCACTCTCTAGCTGGGCGCGGCGCAGCGCAGCTTTGCTCCGTTTCCTATTTGTGAACAAAAGCCCTATCTTGTATGGTTTTCGTACCGTGTGCCGTCGTAAGAATTATCCGGTAGTGTGAACATCGCCTATAAGCTCACAGTTAGGTTTTTATCTTTAGCAATTATTGGAAGAATGTTCGAGTACAACATGGCGCGAATCCATGAATTATGAGCTACTTGTGCAGAAATGATGCGATCGGCAGCTGTGTAACACTGGATACTGCTTTTAAATTACATTTGGTCATTTGGATTTCTACAGCTGTAGTGTAGGAAGTGTTGCTATAAGCCCGAGTTCCAGTACCGTAGGTTCCTCTATTAAGTTAAGCCCCCAGGTAGGGGGTTGCGCTTATTTAGTTCAAACCTTTTTTAGGGGTTGGGACCTTAATTAAGACAGGGGGCGTATTTAATTGAGAAAAGACGATAGCACCAGTTTTCCATAAAGAACTAGAATACAAAGTGCAGAACCTCAAGAACAAGAAGGTTGGAGGTCATGCAGAATCAGATCCATCCTGGATCAGTCCATACGAAGTTTTACAGTCGTGATTGATTAATACAGTCTCTCGTTATTTTTTAGTGAAGAATAATTAGGGGAGGGGGGCTTGTTAACTTTCTTCCCCTGAAAAGGGGTAGAGGGGGGGCTTATTAGTGGGAGAGGGCTTACTTGAGAGGGTGGGCTTAACAGAGGATGTACGGGGTGCTATTTTGTACATCTCTTTTCCACGTCTGGGATTAAGACAAAGGCTATTTTTAATAACCCGGTCTAACTTCAATTAATGACTCGTTTTAGGATCCTGAAGACTGTGACAGTGATCAAATCAATTGCCAGTCAGAGAACCCTGCAAGAGATAACACGCATGCCTGGAAAGAAAAGATCCGGGATATCACAGATGAACGCGATCAGGCGCTTTTGGAGCGTAACCAGGCCCTCACGGCCTTGATGGAATTGGAAACGAAACACCAGGAAGCCAAACAACTGATAGAGAAGTTAAGGAAGGAAATTTTGTGCAAAAGCGCTGCTGAAAAGCCTTCAGAAGCTTTGAACGAAACAAGAATGAAAGAAGGTTTTTGTCTGAGGAGTCCTGCGCAAAGGTTTAGTGTCACGCAGTGCGACGGAAATTGTGACAACTTTTCTAGTGTCGTTGGAAAAGATTCAGACACTGATCTAAACAACAAGCACTGTGATTGGTTACTCTTGAGGGAAGTTGTCACGCAAGCAAAGGAAGAGCGTGACTGTTTACTTAAAAGGCTGGAGATTGTCAAGAGTGAAAGGAACTCTTATTTAGATCGACTGCATTCTTTGGAGAAGGAAAACCAACAGCTAAAAGATGATGTAGGGGTGAGAAACTCGGAGTTGCCTCAAAGTCGCCTCTTGGATGACATTTCACGGCATTTTCAAACAAGATGCCAAGGCGAAAACGACGCGAAAGGAGCACTGAGTTCCGCGCTTTCTCATCTGAAGTCTAAACGGTAAGAGAAAACGAAAACGCCCTTTTACAGTTGTGTTCTCAGTGCCCTGTCCTTTGAATAGAAGCGAGGATGAAGGTGACCTGGTTTTGTTACAAATCTTCCTGATTTTCACCTGTTCACGGGCATTAATTTTACTGGAACCGTATAACGTACTGTGGTACTATCACAGCGCCTGATTTACTTGTGGTTTCAAACCGAGTACAGTTGGGTACGTGTCCGTTAATAGGGAGCTTAAGCAGAAACGACGGAGACGGCTGCGAGAACGTCACTTAAAAAGTTAATTCGCGCTGCCTCGAACTTTATCTCGTTTAATTCGTCAAATGTTGGCTAACTTTTTTGGAGTTAAATTCTAAAGGACTGTGTCAAAGTTCAAGGAAAGGAAAAGAAAGTTGTTGTGTTGTTTTCCGGTCCTCGACAAGACATGAAATTTGTTACTTTCATGTCGTAGTCGTGCAACGACGGCTAAGAAATGTACAAAAAAGCGTGATGCACGTGCAAAGTCGTTGTTATGTCAATCTAAACCTCTTGCTTTTTGTCTTTCTCGTTGTCGTCGCCGTCGTCCTTGCTCAAGCTCCCTAATTATGGGCCAAACAACACGGCACCCTCAAAGTCCCGAAAGAGCTCACTGATCTTTACACAATCCTCAAGTTTGCTGTTGATCGGGCCAATAATGAACGAAATACCCCCATTGAAAATGTCCAAAATTTACAGAGAAAAATATGGCCCTCCGGACTACCTTTCCGGTAATCCATTGTAAATTTTCAGGTTTTCTAGTGCATGTCTTTTCTTCAATATTTGGCATACACCAAATTGAGGATTTTGTAATGCTAGGTGTGCTATTTCTGGTTATGTAGATCTTTTGTTGATAATCCCATAATAATATACGGTTTTGTACCCAGTCCTGGTGTGAAAACGGACAATGTTATAATAGGAATAAGGCCCCGTTCAGACGCCGCTCCACTCATGTGCCGAACCTAACGGATGAATTAAGTGCGGCAAAAACGTTGCATCTGAGTCAATTTGGTACGGCAGTTTTAGTTTGGTGCGACAAAAGCGTTAAGTACATAAGAGTCTGTCAATCATTTTTCGAACTTAACTTAAGCTCGACACACGGTGCGCCGTCTGAATCAAATGTCGCGCCAGTGTCGCTCCGAAGTCGAACTTATTCAATTAGGTTCGGCACATGAAAAGTATGGCGTCTGAACCAGCCTCGCACGATTTGCACTTAAAAAGCATGAAAGTTTGTATTATAACAGGGTCACCTCCAGCCTCGCTTCGGTTCAAAGCCCAGGCCACCTAACCGACAGCTGTAAAACGGCCTTTTTCATCGGTTGTGAGGGTTGCATTCATTTGAGACATAAGAAGGTTGGGCTGATGGCCCTGTCTTCCTAGAAGAGAGACGTTTGGCTTGTGTAGGGAAACCTCAGGGTTATATTTGCCATGTCAAACGATAGGTTAGAAAGCGTAACTGCAAAATACCTTGCACCTCGTAACCAATCATCATCATCATTATCATTATCATTATTGACGTTTTATCGTTATAATTAACAATTAGTCGCCGGAGGCGACATGAATATCGGCGAATAGTCATCGAGACGAAGTCGAGGTTACTTTTCGCCGACATTCACGTCGCCTGAGGCGACTAATTGTTTTAGTATAATTGCATTGATGATTATTCGAGAAAATAAAATTATTGATCAATTTCCGACTCCGAAACATCAACAAATCTGGCTGCCATTTTGAAAACTGCGAGCCTTCAATGTTATAATCACCGACCGGTGATTGTTAACGTAATTCGTCACCCATGATATTAATAGGTAATCAAATAGTATACTCGTCAAATTAGGGAATAATTTCACTTGCGTTTTGTCCAAATCCTAAATTATAAGGATTTGGACAAAACGCGCGTGAAATTATTCCCTAATTTCACTCGTCACCATTTGATTGCACATACTTATTTTTTTTTTTTCATTATTTTCTTCTCTTTTTATCTGCACTGTACAATAATTACATGCCAACTATGCATTTTCTTCGTAAATAACAGGAAACAGATTTCACCGTCAAGACTAACAAAGTCTCCAAAATATGAAAATTCAAACCTTAACGAAGTACACAAGGAGCCAAACAGTTTAGAGCATCAGACAGCTAGTCAAGAAGTCCACGCTCATTCTCCAATCCCAACGCACAGTGAAGTTTCGTCTCCAGGCAACTTGACTGCTTTTAATGGTGAAAGGTTCATCGACAAAGAAGGTTTATGTAATATTGTTTCTAGCAAGATAAGCAATAACTCTGTTAGTAATAACTCAACAGTTGTGTCGCACGGCGAGGAACAAGAAAGTAATGATGACTTTCTTGTTTTCACATCTGGTAGCGAAATGATCGGTTTTACGCGACATCCGCTCGAGGACTGAAAGAAAGCGGGATATTGTTTGAGGGGACGAAATGGCACGCTCTAGGAATTCTAGCTTATTTGATCCTGCGCAATATTATAGTTGTTTTTGATATTATCTTATTTTATGTCATTTTTACTGCTTGACTGTTTTTATTTTGCTTTGTTTGTTTGTTGATGTTGTTTTGTTTTGTCTCTTTTTTTTAGTAACCAAATCAACTAAAATTATTGAGATATAGGAAAAAAATTCCCGAAACGAAAACGAGGTAGAACGACAGAAATGTAGCAGAAAGAATTGCAATGATCACTCAACAGTTTCTATAACCACTGAAAACAACACAAAAACTATTAATTTCTTTATTTATTTACTTATTTATTCATTTATGATAAACATTTATTTCAAAACACACTGTTAGGCAAATATCTTTATTTTTTTCTCGATTTTCTCGCTGTCTTTATTATAAAATTTCTTTGCTTTCTGGTCCTTCATAGTAAAGTTCTTTCAATCCCCAATAACAAGTGCAACTTTCCGTGTTGCAGTATCCAGTTTTTCACGGAAACCTCCTCGTTAAATGCAGCCTTTTCCTTGAGCAGTCATGTCAAAAAAAAAAAAAATGATTACACTGAGACCTGATTGGCAAGGGTTTAAACTAATTTGATTTCTCTGAAAGACTTGGGAATTTCTTGTTTGTTTCTTTGTTTGCTTTGTTGTTGTTGAAGTTTTTATGATCTAAGCACTATAATTTTCTGTTGAAAACCAAATATCTTACTATTTGTTTCTTAATTCATTTTATTTCCTTTTCCTCTCTTTCTTTTTTTTTATTGAAATCAACAACACTATCATTTACATGGCACCCATTTTCTTGATCTGCAACCTTTCGGTGTTTTTTTTTTACCTTCCTTCCTCCCTTTCTTCTTTCTTTCTTTCTTTGTTCCTTTGTTCCCTTCTTAAATGTTTCTGTTTGGTTGTTTCTTTCTTTCTCTCCATATTTGTTGTCGTTTTTTGTTTGTTTGTTTGTTTTTGTTTTCATCTAGGAAAGCGATGAATTTATGACTTAGTTTGAGCACAGGACACTACTCTAGACGAGGATGGTGTACCTGTCAATCATCGCTTGCGTTAGTTTTATCGCGTACCCTCGCAGAAACAACTTAAGATTTTGGTTACGAACACTTCAGTTGTTGAAGTTTACATCGACAACGAAAACATTTATTTTTAAATAACTAAAATAAATGTTTCGTTGTAATCCTTTCGTAGCACGATGTACAAGTATTCTCTAGTTAATGCGCTGACTCATTATTTGCAGATTTTTTTTTTCTTCTTCTCTTCAAAAATGAGCGCGGTATGCACAGCAGCTTAGTTGAAAAAAGGGTTCTACGATAGGTTGCACAACTAGTTGTTTAAATTTGTTTTAATGTTTCATTTTCTTAAAAGTCTTTGCGTACAAAGTATAAGTTAAGAAGTTGTTGCTTAAATTTCAAAGGTATTCTTAACTTCGTTTTGCGATATTGACATTAAAATATGGTTTATACTAAGTAGTTGTACCGTAATTGTGAAAGTTGAATCACGGAAGCCTGCGAGTGGGCTCGGGGAAACTTTTTGGCGGTGGAGCAATAGTTTGTGGGGTTAACCCCATGAAAGCCGGTGTATTTTTAAAGGCTCTAAAACAAATCCTTACCCCCATCTTATAAATCAATACCTTTAATCCCACGAAACGCTATCATTGTCCAAAAGGAGTAAAACAGTGTTGTAAACCGTGCGGCAGCTTGTATTTTAGACTTAAGGTGGCTCGATTGGGGTTTTTAGGGCTAAAATACCTCCCAAGTTTGAACATTAACTACTATCCAAGTTCAGGAAGAGAAATTTTTTTTTCGTTGCTTGCGCAGCTTACGTCGTCAAGAAAACGTGAAATTAGCCATTTTTACGTCGTAGTCGTGCAAAAACGGCAAAGATATGGACAAAAAAGTGTGATGCACGTGCGCGTGCAAAGTTGTTTGTCTTAAGTTAATAAACCTATTGCTCATGTCGCAACCGCAAACGCACCATTTTGATTGAAACTCTCCAACTGGATACATCAGGCTCGCGTTAAGATAGCAGTTATAAGTGTAACCGAATGCGCGACAGCCTTAACCTGTTTTTAAACAGGTTTTACCTGTTCAAAGTTTAGTTATTCGTCCATGCCGCTGGACGCCGGCTCGATCAAAGACGGTCGCTTACAGTGGTTTTTCCGGCTCGACAGAAGAGGCTCCGGCTCGCAGGCTCGCACATTAGCCACCCCCAGTGACTTAGAAGTTGTATAATTTACAGAAGCACGTACCTTGGGGAATATTGCCACTAGACCAATAGAGTGTTTTCATATGACGTCACGGCGGCCATGTTGGTGTCCCAAAACAATGAAATGGCGGCCATGTTGGTGTCCCAAAACAGTTCTATGGGAGTTGAACTCTTTTCTTATGCAAACGCTTTCTTTTGTTCCAATAAATTTGCATAGATGCTAGCCACGTAATTGAAAACGCTCCATAAAAAAGGCGGCTTTTTGTTTACGTAATGTCAACCATGGCAACACTAACATGCTCATTCATACACTTAATTGGAAAGGTCAATCCTCAGGTACCCCTAAAATTAAGCAAAGCTTGCATTTGAAAGAAATTTTAAGACCTTTGCTTTCTAAATAACGAAACAATCATACAAAATACATTCATGTGTACCGGGCGGGGAGGCGGGGGGGGGGGCTGGGAGAGACGAGGTATGGGACCGAGAGACGATGTTCTCATAAGTTGCAAAGCGGTCACTCTGCGTGGTGGTCAGCGGACAATTGCAGTGTTTTTCCCACAGTAAACATTTTTGACAGTAGCGAGAAGCGAACCGGCAGACGAAATGGTTAAAAAACTGAAAAAATAATATCATCCATCTTTGTTTTTCTTGCATATCATATTTGTCTTTTGGTACTGAAATTTAGGGGGAAACTAAACCGCAACCGTGTTAGATCTTAACCAACAACAACACGCTCGATCGATTCGTAGGTTACATCGTTTTTGCCGGGCGAGGACATCAGGTCGAAGATTTCTCCGGTCTGAGCCTCTACAAAATTGCCAAACGAGGCTTCAGTATGTCAGATATGGCAATATGGCGGCCTTTTAATTCCACTTTCATTGGAGCTCCCGTGTTGAAGAAACGATTGTTTTTTTTTATTTTTTCTGAATTTTGGACAAAATTTGCAGAATGAAAAATCAGTCTAGGACATCTTTCAAGTAGGACAAGAAACAACAATTACGGTTGAATTTGGTGATCACAATTTTCCTCATAGATAGCTTGAAACTAAGGAAGTTATAACTCAACCTAATTTCAGTTAGCACTTGTAAAAGATGATAACAGAACTCAGAAACAAGAAGTACATGCTGCTCCTCGAGTGAAAACGAGTTCACAGTGTGGTCCTTGTATACATCTACGTATGAACTGGTGTTAAAATCTTTTAGAATACGCAAGTTACTTTAAGAAAGATATTTCGAAAATCGTACAGGTGCATTAAATCGGTCGTCATGCGTTAGAATAAAGAATTTCCGCCGCACCCTTATAAAATTGGCTGATTAAAAATATTGTTCCATGTAGCTGTTGTTTGAGAAAGGTGCTATGCGGAAATTTTTTAAGTTATAATTCAGCTATTAGAGAGATTAAGATTCACGTTTACGGCATACGGCAAACGGCAAACGTCAGTTGAGAATTTCTCAGAATAGAAAATAAGTAGATAAAAACAGTCCAGAGCGATTCTTATGGATAAAGCTGGCGTAAAACTACTTATTTTTGTGTAGAAGCAATAAACAGTAAACGAAAAATAAGGGGAAAACTTGGTCACGTGGTACAAATTCACGTTTGCCGTTTGGCGTAAACGTGAATCTTAATCTCTCTATTAATTTTCTTCGAACGAGTGTTATGGGTGTACGTCATGACCTGTTAATGTCACTTGATATTATGCTCCTATTTTCGCTGAAATCTTTCTGTTTTTCAAGAATTATATGTAGCGCTGCACGTTTTGAAAAACGCAGAGATGCACATAAATATTGATTTAACGCAAAAAGCCATGAAACAGATCAAGAAACGAAAAACAAAACAATAGAAATTACAGAGTTTACATGCGATTTCAATTATGTTTCTAATAATGACTTGTTGCTAACAGGTTCCCAACTAGTGTATTAAAAGGCTAAAGTACCTTTGGCTTTATAGCTACAGGAAATGACAGAAAAAAGTTGAGCTGACACTTAAAAGAGTCGGACAGGCGTTTAGAGTGTGCATTGTATCAGGAAAATTGGCGGTTAAAAAAACAAACTACCATTAGTTCATGGTCTCCCGTGCCCGCCCGACCTTGGTGAATTTAATTCATATCAGTCTTGCTTTTGTTAAAAATGGAAAAAATCAAAAGATTTCTGCGAAACTTTTTGGTATTTTTTTTCTTGTGTATATTAAAAACTCTGAGTCAGTACAGCAAGCCGTTTCTGCGCGAGTTCTTTGAGAAAGTCCATCAAGTGCGGCTTTAGACGAACCTGAACGGAAACGATTGCCACGCGCTTGCTATTCTCAGCCCTCAGTAACATGTTTCGTAGATAAAAGACAGAGTTTCTTTTTCGTTGCCGTTAGGATTCAAGTCCACACTTAGTTAAATGATGATGGTTGTTTGTTTTGAGAGAAACTACCATGCTATTCATTGAGGGAGTAAAATAATAAAATTTAGTCTTATCAACCGACGCGAGTTGATTTGATTAATTCCCGTTGAAACCCCAAAACTTTTGTAAGAGCGATTCGATTTGCTCTGACAAACGGCTTGCGTTTAAAAAGGCTTTTAAATCTAGGCTTTACGGAATCAAAACGGAGGTTATCGAAAACGCATCACTTTTCTCAGGGCCTAATTTTTGACGTGTTTTTAACGATTATTTTGTTTGTCGAGGCTATGAACTGAATAATGTTACAGAGGCTTCAGGGTGATCGGTGGGAAATGGGCTCAGTTTTCAGTCAATCTCTCCTTAGCTTCTCCTTCTTCTTTCTCTTATAACTTTCCCTTTTCGCCCAATGAAATGCGGTTTGACTTGTCTTTTCCAACCTA